TCGATTCCTCAGCACCACATAAGCAAAAAGAAAAAAGCCAGAGGTGGTGCTGTGGCTCAAGTGGTAGAGCGCTAGCCTTGAGCTGAACAGCTGGGGGACAGCGCCCACGCCCAGAGTTCAGGCCCCACAACTGGACCCCCCCCCAAAAAAAAGTTTCACAGACTTTTCTGCCTGGGCTAGCTTTGAACCTTGATCCTCAGATCTCAGCCTCCTGAGCCACCAGCAGCCGGCTTCAAGTGCTCTTACTGCTTTAGTTATTCCTCGGGTAGTCTGGCCTCAGACCTTGGCCCTCCTATTTTTTATACCCAGCTGGGATTCCTGGTGTGAATCACCATGTCTCGTTTATGGATTGAGATGGAGTTCTGGCTAATTTTCTGCCCAGACCAGCCTCCTGAATGATTCCTCCCGAGAAGCCGGGATTACAGCAAATTGTGAGGATTTAAGGCAGAGTAGGGCCATAGAGCATCAACTTAAATAGGGAGTACTAATACTAAAAAGTCAATTCTCCAAACTTTGGTTCCATGAGTAAGGCCAACCTGTCCTGTGGTGGCTGCTACATTCCCTTGCGTCCCTTTAGTAGGCTGATAACATTCAGGAGGATCTGTTATGGTGGAGTTGGCCAAAAATGCACTCTCTGGATTCTGGGTAGGTGGGAAGAGGATATGATGGCTTCACATTTAACAGCCTCATGTCTGTGTCTGACTCTTATGAAAGAGCTGTCAGTGCTAGCTGATCAGCCAAGACATGTTACGTTGTTAAAACCAGCCATTGGGTGTTGAGCGGAGTGACCTTCTATCATCTCTTTTGTGGTCTGAAGTGTCGGTGGCATTACTGTCCACTGAAGCTGGTGCCACGTGAGCACAGGGTCCACTTCTCTGCTGTAATTCTATTTGCCTCTGCACTGTGGAGGTTTATGGCCTTCCCGGTTCTCTGCCCTGGGCTGCATTACAGCTAGTGCAGGCCCACACCTGGTGTTTGTCAGGCTCCCAGCAGGTCTGCAGGTTTCTGGTGTACTGGGCTTTGAACTCAGGTTGTGGTGCTTGTTGGGCCATCACTCAGTCCCTTGAGGCCTCCCCCACCTTTGCTTTAGAGTGTTTCAGGGAAGGCCTCCCACTTGCCCCTGGTGACTCAGAACTTTGCCCCTGGGTCTGCTGGCTGCAAAGGGGCCCCTGACCCCTGACTCTTCCCTGAGGGCCCTCCAGACCAGGCTGCCCTCTGTTTGCCCGATAGCTGGAACCACAGGTGTGGGTCACTATGCCAGGCTGCAGCTGTTCTTCGTGCAGGCCCTGCTCGCTGCCCACTGTGGGTCACAGAGCTGGGAGGGGGAAGGGGGAAGAAGGCAGAGGGAAGAGAGGGATGGAAGAGGGGGACAGAAGAGGGAAGAACAAAAGAGGGGGCAGGGGAAGAGGGGGGCAGGGGAGAGG